TCCCAGCACTTTGGGAGGCCGAGGTGGGTGGATCATGAGGTCAGGAGATCGAGACCATCCTGGCTAACACGGTGAAACCCCATCTCTACTAAAAACACAAAAAAATTAGCTGGGCATGGTGGCAGGCACCTGTAGTCCCAGCTACTTGGGAGGCTGAGGCAGAAGAATGGCGTGAACCCAGGAGGCGGAGCTTGCAGTGAGCCAAGATCGCGCCACTGCACTCCAGCCTGGGCAACAGAGAGAGACTCCATCTCAAAAAAATTAACTGGGGATGGTGGAACCTGCCTGTAGTCCCAGCTATTCTGAAGGCTGAGGTGGGAGGATCATTTGAGCCTGGGAGGTTGAGGCTTCAGTGAGCTGAGATCATGCTACTGCACTCCAGCCTGGGTGACAGAGGAAGACCCTGTGTTACAAATTTATTATTACTATTCGAGACAAGAGTATCATTCTGTCACCCAGGCTGGAGTTCAGTGGTGTGATCTCCGCTCACTCCAAGTGATTCTCCCGCCTCAACCTCCCCAGTAGCTGGGATTACAGGCGCCACCACGACACCCAGCTAATTTTTTTTAGTAGAGACAGAGTTTTGCCACGTTGGCCAAGCTGGTCTCGAACTCCTGACCTCAAGTGATCCGCCTGCTTTGGCCTCCCAAAGTGCCGGGATTATAGGTGAGCCCCCACGCCCAGCCTTTTTTGTAAATATACTGTTCAGTTTTTAGATGTACATTTAAAATTGTAAACAATCCACCCTGGCGTCCAAGCCTCGCCTCACCCATCGTAAAGCATGGTTCAGGTTCCCTCCTCTTCCTCCAGTCGCCTCTCTTAGCCTCTTTGAAGGTTTCTCTTCTCTGACTTCCCAGACCCAGTGCCTACACTCGGGGGCCCTGGGCTCCCTCCGGTTCCATGCTGGGCATCTCCCGGACAAGCAGGGCTCCACGTCTTCCCAGAAAGCCTACTCCTCCCTGGTGTCCCAGGTTCCCCCCACTCCCTGCCTGGTCAGTCCCTGCCTCTTCACACCTGCCCATTTTCCCTCGTATCCTCCCCACCTCTCCCCTAGCCTCGGCCTCTCCCCCAGGGCAGGGACAGGGTGTCTGAGGGCCAGGGGGATTTAGCTTTGAGTGTTTGATTGAAACACCAAGTGAATAGAAAATCAAGCCTAAACTGGCAGCCTGAGCACTTCCTTTTGTCTGCAAACTGCTCAGGTGTCTCACCCTGCCAGGCTTTGGCACTGGCTCTTTCCTCATCCAAGGGATACCCTTTCCCTCAACTCCTACCTTATCTGGAGAACTCTTATGTTACCTGCAAAACCTAATCCCATTGTACCCTTCCCTACCAGAGTCATAAATTCAATCCTCAACTCAGGGGTACTGGGGGCATTTATGACAAGCTGTGTCATAAATTATAACAGCTTCTCTCAGGACGCGTGGCCAGGAAGTGGGTGATTGTCCCTAATGACCCTCACTCATCTCTCCTCTCTTCCCAGCTACTCTGACGCATGGATCCCCTGGGCCCAGCCAAGCCACAATGGCTGTGGCGCCACTGTCTGGCCGGGCTGCTGTTTCAGCTGCTGGTGGCTGTGTGTTTCTTCTCCTACCTGCGTGTGTCCCGAGACGATGCCACTGGGTCCCCTAGGTCAGGGCTCATGGCCGTGGAACCTGTCATTGGAGCTCCCAATGGGTCCCGCTGCCAGGACAGCACGACGACCCCTGCCCGCCCCACCCTCCTGATCCTGCTGTGGACGTGGCCTTTTAACACACCCATGGCTCTGCCCCGCTGCTCAGAGATGGTGCCAGGCGCGGCCGACTGCAACATCACTGCCGACTCCGATGTGTACCCACAGGCAGATGCGGTCATCGTGCACCACCGGGATATCATGTACAACCCCAGTGCCAACCTCCCGCCCCCGACCAGGCCGCAGGGGCAGCGCTGGGTCTGGTTAAGCATGGAGTCCCCAAGCCACTGCCGGCACCTGCAAGCCCTGGACGGATACTTCAATCTCACCATGTCCTACCGCAGCGACTCCGACATCTTCACGCCCTACGGCTGGCTGGAGCCACGGTCCGGCCAGCCTGCCCACCCACCGCTCAACCTCTCGGCCAAGACCGAATTGGTGGCCTGGGCGGTGTCCAACTGGAAGCCGGACTCGGCCAGGGTGCGCTACTACCAGAGCCTGCAGGCCCATCTCAAGGTGGATGTGTATGGGAAATCCCACAAGCCCCTGCCCAGGGGGACCATGATGGAAACACTGTCCCGGTACAAGTTCTACCTGGCCTTCGAGAACTCCTTGCACCCCGACTACATCACCGAGAAGCTGTGGAGGAACGCCCTGGAGGCCTGGGCCGTGCCCGTGGTGCTGGGGCCCAGCAGAAGCAACTACGAGAGGTTCCTGCCGCCCGACGCCTTCATCCACGTGGACGACTTCCAGAGCCCCGAGGACCTGGCCCGATACCTGCAGGAGCTGGACAAGGACCACGCCCGCTACCTGAGCTACTTCCGCTGGCGGGAGACGCTGCGGCCTCGCTTCTTCAGCTGGACACTGGCTTTCTGCAAGGCCTGCTGGAAACTGCAGGAGGAATCCAGGTACCAGACGGTGCGCAGCATAGCGGCTTGGTTCACCTGAGAGGTCGGCGAGGGGCCTGGGCTGCCGGGACCTCACTTTCCCAGGGCCTCACCTACCTAGGGTCTCACTAGTCTGGGGATTTACCTACCTGGGGCCTCGCCTGCTGGAGTCTTTGGTGGCCAGACATGTGACTTACCTGGGACTTCACATGCCAGGCTTTACCACTGCCAGGAGCCTCCCCTGCTGGGGACCTTGCTGGCTGGGGACGGTGCCTACTGGGAACCTTGTTTGCTGGAGGCTGCACCTACTGAGAGTCTCGGCTGTTGGGGACTTGACCTGCTGGGACCTGGTCCCAGAGACCTCGCCACACTAAATGTCACCTGTTAGGAGCCTCACCTGCTGGGGACCTCACCCTGGAGGGCACCCTGGGAACTGGTACCCTGGAGGCCCTGCCCCCGGGCAATGGTGCAGGCTGGTTAGCTTGTGGTTTTATTGCCGTTAACCACCCATGAGGGGTGCAAACAGACAATGCTGTTACCATTTTCACACAAGAACGCTTCAAGGAAAGCTCCTGTGTCCCCCTCACCCCAGAACAGAGGTTCTCATGCAGGGCGATTCCATCCCCAAGGGCACTTGGCAATGTCCAGAGACATTTTCAGTCATCACAACCCGAGGAGGAGGATGAGGTCACCTAGTGGGTAGAGGCCAGGGTTACCCCACACCCCCTACGATGCACAAGTCGGGGACCCTACAACCAACAATGATGGTTCCAAATATCCAGGAGCAGAAAACCCTGTTCTAGAACCTTCTATGACCCTGGAGATCAAGTCCCTTGCTGGGGGAGTGTTCAGATCCCTCGGGGGTCCTCTCCTCCAGCTGGCTCCCTGCGGTCGGCTCTGGCACCCACCCAGAAGTGAAAGTCTTTTTTCTGAAGATCTCAGGTCAAGAACTCCCAAGTCAGGCAAGCCCTGCATAGAGCCCTGCTCCACCACTTAGGGCTGCAGATGGGTTCTGACTGTAAATGAGGACATCTGGAACATTCCGGAACATTCCGGAACATTCTGGGCTTGGGGGAAATTGCTCCCTGGAATGCCAAGGGGGACCTGGTGGTGGAAGGTGGTGGTGAATCCCAGGTGCTCTCTGAGCCTCAATCTCCCTATTTGCACAGTGGACATGCAGGCTCTGAGGGCTGGGGAGTGGGGCCCGTGCTCTCCAGGAGTGAAGATGGGCAGGGCTGGGATAAAGGGACCCTCTCTGCCCAGGGCACAGGGCCCAAGGGAGCTGGATGTGTTGCCCCAGGTGTGTAGGGCAGGTCAGAGAAGGGCAGGATCCCCTAAGGAGGAGGGCAAGGGGAATGTGTGTGACCGTCAGCAGTGGTGTGCACATGGCTGGGGGACACTCGGTGTGACTGTCAGCAGGTGGGTGTCACAAACACATCACTGTGGGTGTGACCTTGGTGTGACTCTGATAGTGCCTGCGGATGTGTTGCGATGCCTGCCTGTGGCTCTATGTAGGTGTTTGTAGGTGGTGGTGATTGCGAATGTGCGACAGAATGTGTGGCCCTGGGAGGCTTTGAGTGTTGGATGGAGCAGGAGCCCCTCTCTGAGTGTGCGTGTCTGTGTGACCATGCAAAGCCATATCTGCATGGACCTGTGTCCTTGGGTGTGGTGAAGTGGGCTGTGTGTGGCCACATATGGGATTCTTAAGCTGTGTCTGCAAGTGGCTGTGACCATGTGTGTGGCCTTGTGGATGAGCAGGGGGAGGTGGAGTTCTTAAAAGTATTACAGGCCGGGCGCGGTGGCTCAAGCCTGTAATCCCAGCACTTTGGGAGGCCGAGACGGGCGGATCACGAGGTCAGGAGATCGAGACCATTCTGGCTAACACGGTGAAACCCCGTCTCTAGTAAAAAAAAATACAAAAAAATAGCCGGGCGAGGTGGCGAGCGTGTGTAGTCCCAGCTACTCGGGAGGCTGAGGCAGCAGAATGGCGTAAACCCGGGAGGTGGAGGTTGCAGTGAGCCAAGATCTGGCCACTGCACTCCAGGCTGGGCGACAGAGCGAGACTGTCTCAAAAAAAAAAAAAAAAATTACAGGAGGGGAAACTGAGGCCCACAGAGGGCCAGGGACCCAGGCCAAACATTCCTCCCTGCAGGGGGGTAGGCAGAGACCCTGCGGGATGGTGGGAGGATCAGCATGACCTCAGCCTCCTGAAGAAGGTGCCGGCAGTGGCTCAGCTCTGCAGAGGTGGTATGTGGCTGATGCCCAGAGAAGTTGAGGAACTCACCCAAGGCCACACAGCTGCCAGAGGTGAAAGTGGGTTTTCTGAAGATCTCAGGTCAAGAACTCCAAAGGCAGGCAAGTCTCCCATAGAGTCCTGCTCCACCACTTACGGTCTGCAAGTGTCTTCTGACTGTAAATGAAGACTTCCGGAACATTCCGGAACATTCTGGGCTTGGGGGAAATTGCTGCTCTCTGGAGAACGCCATGGAGGACCTGGTGGTGGAGGGTGGTGGTGACTCCCAGGTGCTCTCAGCCCAGTTTCCCCATCTGCACAGTGGACATGCAGAGGTGCTTGTGATGTCTCCCCCAGGCCTAGGTGGGAGGGTGGAGGGGCATAGAGTGGGGAAGGTGTGGGGGGCCTGGAGAGTCTCTGCCAAACCCGCTGGTGACTCCAGGCCTGAGCCAGCCTTGCTGGGCCCATCACTCACCTGCCACCCACACCACACACCTGGGCCTCTCCCCACTGCCTGGCTGCAAGCCAGGGGTCCCGGGAGGGGGACGGGGCCCTCGGGAGGCCAGGCCAGGGCTTCCTAACAGGATGGTGTGGGGCCAGTTCCCCGGGGGTAAGGAGTTGGAGTGGGAGCAGGTTCCTCTGTCCCCTGACACCCCTGGAGCCCCCGTGGTCGCCGCCTCTACCTGAGCTGATGTCAGAATCAACATCTCCCTTTCTCAACTTGTCTTTCTCTCCCTCTGGAATTTCCTGTGAGGCTTAGAGGGACGTGGAAACCCTCCTTGGGTCCCACAAGGACAGAGGCCCAGCCACCTGGCCAATGCTAGGGGACCCTGGCCTGCCCCCTCTGGAACCACAGCACCACCCCAAACCTCCATTGCCTCCCGGTATGCCCCGGATCTCACGTGTGGTTCATGGCACACCCAGCCCAGCCCGTGGGGCCTTCTCCCTCCTGAGTGGCAGCTGCCCTTGGCTCCCAGCCCTGGGCCCCAAGGGAAGAGAATTTTCCAGCAGGCTGGCAGCTCTATCACCCACCCAGCCCAGGCTGAGGGAGGAACTGGGGGGTCCAATGAGGGCAGAGACCCCAGTGAGGAGGTCCTCGTGATCCCCCACTCTGGGCTCTGGGCTCAGCTCTTTGGCAGGGAGATCCCACCTGGCACTAGCCTGGTGAGCCCTGCTCAGAGAGGGCCAGGAAATCTCTCAGGTCACACAGCAATTTCAGGATAAGCACACACTGTTTCTGGCAATGGGCTGCAGCTCCTCTTCCAGATCTCAGTGGTTGGAGACTGGTCCAGCTGTGGATCTGATAGCCAAGGGGCCTGGGTTGCAATCCCAAACCCCACCTCTAGCCCTCCTGACTCCTGGCTGTGTGAACAAGGTGGACTGGGGTTGGATGTTACAGGAGGAGGGAACCAGTTCAAAGGACACAAGGGATTCACGGTGAGGGCCAATCGGATGTGGGCCGTGAGCTGCCAGGGCAGATCTTGGGGACAAGGCCGGAGCTCCGTGGGCGACAGTGCCAGTGCGGTAATGACCACATTTGAGTGGGGTGGGGTGACCTCACCAAGAATCTGTCTTCTGCCGTGTTGTGTCAAAAGGAGCATGTGGCCGGGCAGTGGCTCACACCTGTAATCCCAGCACTTTGGAAGGCTGAGGTGGGTGGATCACTTGAGGTCAGGAGTTCAAGATCAGCCTGGCCAACATGGAGAAACTCCATCTCTACTAAAAATACAAAAATTAGCCAGACATGATGGCACGCACCTATAGTCCCAGCTCCTTGGGAGGCTGAGGCAGGAGGATCACTTGAATCCGAGAGGCAGAGATTGCAGTGAGCCGAGATTGGGCCACTGCACTCCAGCCTGGGAGACAGTGCAAGACTCCATATCAAAAAAAAAAAAAAAAGCAGGAAAGAAAGAAAGAAAAAAATAGCATGGCATTCATTTCCAGTGCCTGTGGAGGGACAGGGCATGCAGTGAAGGGCAGGTGTGGCCAGATTGACCAGGATTCCTTAATAACCCAATAAAGCATTTATCAACTTCTACTTTCTTGCTATTGGGGTTTAAGCAGCATCTGGCCTCAGGTGTGATTGGAGCTCAGCCCAGAGTGTGGACTGAGTTCCCAGGAGCACCATTGCCTCAGCCAGCCCAGCCTCCCATTGCCTGGTGATCACAACTGTGGAATGGGCAGAGCCCTGTGGCTCCACTAGAGACCTACCCTTGGGTTTCTCACTTCAGCTTCCCTCATCTCTTGCTCTTCTAGGTTTTCTGTCCTCACGAGGCTGTCAGCCCAGCAGGGGAAGGAAGGGACACAGTGTGGCCTGAGCTAGGATGCGGGAGACAGAGGCAGTTGGAGTAGCCAGTGGAAGGAATTGATCTGGCTGAAAAGGCAAGAGAGCCCCTATCTTTGGAAGCTCCCGGGAGGAGCTGTCTGCAGCGAGCCTTGAAGAATGGGAACTAGGCAGGAGGCAGGGGGCAGAGAGTATAGTTGTCCAGCTGGAGACAGCCTGCTACATTTGAAACTCCAAGCGACTCACAGCAATGAACGCTCTCTCTCAGGACCTCAGTCTTCACAGCCATAGGACGGCTGTGTGGGACGGAAGCCTTGCCCATTCAGGCTTGGCTGGGGCCCCACTCTCAAAGGCATGTGAACCAGAGCAACTCCATCTTGAATAGGAGCTGGGTAAAATGAGGCTGAGACCTGCTGGGCTGCATTCCCAGGTGGTTAAGTCATTCTAAGTCACAGGATGACATAGGAGATCAGCACAAGATACAGGTCATAAAGATCTTGCTGATAAAACAGGTTGCAGTAAAGAAGCCGGTCAAAACCCACCAAAACCAAGATGGTGATAAGAGTGACCTCAGGGCATCCTCACTGCTACACTCCCACTCGCACCAGGACAGTTTACAAATGCCATGGCAACATCAGGAAGTTACCCTATATGGTCTAAAAAGGGGAGACATGAATAATCCACCCGTTGTTTAGCATGTCACTAAGAAATAACCAGCCGGGCACCGTGGTTCAGGCCAGGCGTGGTGGCTCATGCCTGTAATTCCAGCACTTTGGGAGGCTGAGATGGGCAGAATGCCTGAGGTCAGGAGTTCGAGACCAGCCTGCCCAACATGATGAAACCCCCATCTCTACTAAAAACACAAAAATTAGCTGGGTGTGATGGCGCATGCCTGTAATCCCAGCTACTCAGGAGACTGAGGCACAAGAATTGCTTCAACCCAGGAGGTGGAGGTTGCAGTGAACTGAGATCATACCACTGCACTCCAGCCTGGGCAATAAAGCGAGACTCCGTCTCAAAAAAAAGAAAAAAAAAAAAGAGAAAGAAAAGAAAAAAAATAACCATAAAAACAGGCAACCAGCGGTCCTCAGGGCTACTCTGTCTATGGAGTAGCCATTCTTTTATTCCTTTACCTTCCTAATAAACTTGCTTTCACTTTAGAGACTAGCCCTGAATTGTTTCTTGCGTGAGATCCAAGAACTCTCTCGGGGTCTGATTGGAACCCCTTTCCTGTGACACCAAGACTGATAACCCCACGAGTTGTCTTAATCAGTCACAGAGAATGCCCCCAGCGAGGACATGAGCAGACAGCAGACTTAGGTCACCCCTTCTGGAAATGGTCTGCCTGGGAGACCCCAGTCCCTGGCCCAGCCCTGTCCCCTCAATCCTCCTCACTGGCATGGGCCTGGCTGGGCACTGAGATGGTGGAACCCCAGGCAGTGTGAAGCAGCCTCCTGGAAATGATTTCTAGAACAGGGAAGACATCGTACATGGAGTTTGGACCATAGACTCGGTCGTCTCTGCACCCAGTTTGGGAGTGACAGAGTTAAAGGCCATCCTCTCTCAAGAGATCGAGACATCCTGGTTAACAGGTGAAACCCGTCTTCTACTAAAATACAAAAAAAATTAGCCGGGCGGGTGGCGGCGCCCTTGTACTCCCAGCTACTTGGGAGGGCTGAGGCAGGGAATGGTGTCGAACCCGGGAGGCGGGGCTTGCAGTGAGCTGAGATCCGG